TTCACTCCCCACCTTATCTTGACTAGTCAGGGTCTCTCACTGAACCCAGAACTCACCCAGCATGGGGACCTGAGTTCAATCCCCAGAACCCACATGAAAAGCTGGGCCTGGTGGCACACGCGTGTAACCACAGTGCTGGGGAAACAGAGACAGGTGGATCCCTGGGGCTCAGTGGTCAACCATTTTAACCAAATTGGTGAGCTCTAGGACAGTAAGAGAGCCTGTCTCAAAGGAGAGGGACAGCATTGCTGAAGGTGACACCCGAGGCTGTCCTCTGACCTCCACACACATGCACGTCCTCACGCATGCCCACGCCCCCACGGGTATTAAAAATACATCATTTTCTGTGCCCTGGTGGTGTTCACTGTCCCTGTGTGCTGCTCAGGCAAACAGTAGCCTTTGCTGCACCAGCTCAAACACTCCTGGTTAACTTTTCATGATACTAAAAAGCTTAAGGATAAAACCAACCATGTGCAGCATATCCACAAAGTGGTATAATTTATACTTTTCCAGTCTCATCCAGGAACTGATAAAAGGCTGCAGTTGCCTTAGGTTCTCCAAGGACAGGGCGCATCTTGGGTATGACCACATGGCCTTTCACCCTTTAGACCTGATGTGGGGCGGCGGCTCATTAGACACTGATAGAATGAGGCAGGATTGACATCGCTGAGCTTCTTCCCCTCTCCTGAGAGCATCTGTACCACAGGGTTAGGGGTGACCGCCCACAGCTGGAAATGCTTCTGCTATCGAGAGAGAGCCAAGGAGCATTTCTATAGAGGCCTGTGAGCAAAGTCATCCATCCCATGACATTACGCCTGCTGGAAATGAATCTTTAATATCTGAATAAATGAATGTGTCAACTGGTACAGTGCTGAAAAGTCCTACCTAGTAACATTTCCTCAAGCTCAGATGTATTCATAACCTCTGAAAAATGCAGGGTGTCACCTACCTGAAGTGTAACATACATAATCACCCTGGGTGCCTTCTACGTTAAGCAGATTCATATTCTAGCAGAATGGGTCATGTGGCATAAGATTTGATGGGGAAGAGGATGAATAGGTCTAAGATCTGCAGCAGCTGGGCAGACCGTGGTGAGATAACTCCGTCCTTATGAGAGGGAGAGCCCAATCATGGAAGCAGTTGTAGTATTTTCTTGAGCTAACTCCACTCCTGAGAATGACTGAGTACCTTAAACAAGTTTTCACCTTTCCTTCCTCTTGTTTCCTGAGAGATCAGAGGACCAGTCTCAGGCCGACTTCGGTAATAAACAACAGTCAAAGTGCCGATGGACTGTGAAAGAGACGGTTTCAAGAGAGGGAAGAAACAATACAAGCAGCCACTTGGATGCCTCTGCTCGATGTGATAGAATATCCCTTTAAGTTTTCATTAACTCTGTGTGTGTGTGTGTGTGTGTGTGTGTGTGTGTGTGTGTTTCTGTGTCTGTGTCTGTGTGTCTGTCTGTCTCATGTCTGTCTGTCTGTCTGTCTGTCTCTCTCTCTCTCTCTGTCTCCCACCCTTCCCCAACACACACACACACAGAGGAGGAGTATTATCCTCAAGGTGACACAGGATCTATAAGAAACAGACTGTGGACAGTTACATAGGTATTTCCTCCAAATTGAAACATTCCCTCCTGGAGCAAGGCTCTTTAAGACCTGCGAAGTAAAAGAAACCTACAAGGTTCAGGAAGTCAACAAAACTCACAAGTCTCAGGAAGCTCCTGAAATTTACAAGATTCATAAGGTCCCACCCCTAAAGTTATACAAGCATTACACAATAGGTCATCCAAAAGATAAATGCACAGTCTCCCTAATCATTCTGACACATACAAAATGGTGTGTGGTGGTCAAGCCAAAATCCAAACACATCCTACAAGCCAGTGTTTCTTCTTTACATTGTCATGAACCCAAATGTGAAAAATTACAGTGGCAGCATCTTCCTGACTTAGGCCTTCTAGGAAGGCTGCCCAACAGGAAGCTACAAAAATATCCAGAGAGGATAGGAAGAGTTAAAGTAATGACCAGAGAAGGACAAAATGGTGAGAAACATCTCTGTCAGAAATTGTGTCTTCTAGTTTGTATATCTAGACATCAGTTGTGCTGGGAAACCTAATGGAAATAGATTTACATATTGCACTGAGGTACAAAAGAAAAAAGAAATGTTTCTTATTACAGCATCATTAGATGGATTCAGACAACAGATTGGATCACAGCTGCATAAATACAATTCTTTTTTATGAAAAGAAAAACATTTTTGCTTTAAAACTAGTCAAAAGGCCTAAGGAACAGGACACAGACATGAGTACCAGCTCAGCTAAATGGAGTCTCATCTGACCCAGAACTTCACTATGCTGTCATTTGTGTTCCTGCAAAGAGTTCTTCTGGCCCCTAAAGTGGCTTCCCCTTCCCCACCCACTGCAGCAGACCTGTGTGAGAATCAAGGTGTGACCTTCAGGGAAGAACGTTAGGAAAGAAGAACCTTACCACTTCAGGGAGCAGCCTCGTTGAAAGGTCATGGATGGCTTTGACCACTATGCATATAGATGACAGAAGAAAGATCACCCCCAAGATGACACAGGCTCTGTAGGAAAAAGAACATGGGTAGTTGTGTAGTTACTTCCTCTAAATTAAAATATTTCCCCCTAGAAGGAGGCTCATTAATCCTTAGAAAGTAAAGGACACTTAGAAGTTTTAGGAAGTCAACAAAACTCACAGGTCTCAGGAAACTCCTGAAGCTTACAAGACTCACAAGGCCCCTTCTCGAATGTTACATGAACAGTAACAATTGCTTAGAAGATGTGACTTTTTTCAGTGGAATTGCCTGAAAGTTGTATAGGGAGCTCCTGGGGTGCAGCTTTTGCTGACTTATCACCCATGTGGGGTGAGCATTTCAATGATGCAGCTGACTTTGGTCAAACTGTACTCTGATAAGTAACCCCAGTGAAACTCATTGTTCACTAATCTACATAGATGGAATCATTTCTTTGGCATGTTGTCAATCCCTTATCTGTAATGGATCCCAGGGGCTGGCTGGGAAGTTAATATTATAAACAAACCAGTGAGCACTAGGTTTAGTGAAAGATCCTATCTCAAAAAATGACAGAAGAATATGCCTCAGATTGCCCTTCGGCATACATGTACACACACACACACACATACGCACACGCACACGCACACGCACATGCACACACACACACACACACACACACATGAGGGAGAGAGAGACACAGAGACAGAGACAGATAGACAGAGACAAAGAGAATATGTCCCTTAGGTAATAATATATGTCTTCCATTTCCCAGTGTCTACAGCAGCATGTAGCAGATATCCTGTGTGCATCTGTTGAGTGGATATGACCAACTAACTAGTTAGCTAACCAAACCAATAACTAACCATTACTAGTTTACCCACCTGGGAGTTTCTTACCATGGAGTCTGAGGCAGCATTGTTTGCTTTCCAATGGGTCTGAGGAGAGGAGGGGGACTCTAACCTTCATTCCTGTACCCTCAAACTAGCCACATTGTAAAGCAGCTATAAAGTATAATGGAAACTCAAAAGAAGTTTGCCAAAATCGGACCTTGTAAACTATAGCCTACCTTGTGTGGACACTATCAGTATACACAAGAACATGCTCAGATTTTTACTAAAATCTCCTTTTCTTCTTCTTTTCAGTGTGCTGCAGACTTGAAAATCCTAGCCCCTGCTTCCCAAAACTGTGTTAGGTCCTGTGTGTCAGAGCCCTGCTGCTTCTGCAGCCCAAAGCAGCTATGAATAGCTCAGGCTGCAATGCTATTTTTTAACATTGTATTAATAATATATTGTGTTTACACAGCAGCTTTCTCCTCAGGCACTCAGAGTTCTGCACATCAGCTCCCAGATCCCCTGGAGGGCTCCTCACATCCAGGTGTTTGTTTTTGTGCAGTTTATGAATGGGGAGGGTGATGTGTGTTTCATTAACACAAGGAGACAAAGTCGGAGAGAACAGGGGTAGGAGACTTGGCTCAAGGTCATGCAGGGCATTGAGTTCTACCCAGAAAGAGGGCCTGAGGGGTGGGGGAGAGGTTCCATGGGTAAAATGTCAGCTGCACAAGCATGAGGAGCTGAGTTTGGATCTCCAGCACCCATAAAAGGAAAGACAGGTTGATCCCTGGGTCACATTGGCCAACCACATAGCTGAATCAGTGGGCTCTGTAGTCAGTGAGAGATCATGTCTCAAAAACCAAGTGTACAGGGGCTGGAGAGCTTGCTCCACAGTTGGGAAGACTGCTCTTCCAGAGTACCTGAGTTTGGCTCTAAGAACCTGTTCAGAGCCAACAGTAGCAGCTCCAGCACCAAAGACTCCAATACCCTCTCCTGACCTCTGAGGGCACCTGCATACATGTGGTATATACACACAGAGACACACACATATACACATAGATTTTTTTTAAAAAAAAAATTTAAACATTAAAACAAACATAAGTAAAACCAAGTAGAAAGAAGTTGAGGAAGACATCCAATGTCAACATCTGGCCTCCACATGTGTAATTACATACACATGTACATATACAAACCACACACACACACCCCACAAGAAATAGAACCTGATTCAACTAATGACCTCCCAGTGGCCGGCCCATTCAGCAACAACTCTGGGCATCATGGCACGTGACCACCATGTCACATGACCACCACCACTCTAGTCTGTCCAGGACATCACGCTCCACCATCACTCTCCAGAACACCTCAAAGATGCAAACACAGAAAACGTGGTTACTTCTCCATCAGCACTAAGTGAACTACTTCTAGGTCTGATAGGCAGAGGGGAATCGGCTCACTCCACACACCCGCCTTCTCCTGCACAGGCAGGCCTAGCTGGGTAAAAGGAGTCCTGAGGAGCCAGGGCTCCAGGAAGAATGAATACACACTGCTTTTCTCTCCTGCCTAAAGGCTGCGCAGCTTCCTGAGTCAGAAAACACAAATGGCCCACCACCCCCTCAATAAAGAAAACGGCCCACAACCCTTCCAGACAATCCTTAACTGATGGTTCAAAACTGAGTTGAGGTTCCCATGGGACGTGTGTGTGTGTGTGTGTGTGTGTGTTGGGGGTGAGGGGGGAGCCACCCCACACATGGTGGGAATCCATGTCACCATCACCTAAGAACTTGCTAGAAGGAAATTCTGAGTGAATCTACCACAGACCTGTTCCTGGGCTTTGCTGAGAACATTCCCAGCAGCTTGCTGGGAACACAGCAAAGAGCAGCCCAGCTCTCCCTCCCTCGTGGCAGCTTTCTGTGGCTATATGTACTAATCCACTACTAAATGCCAGGCCATGGCTGAGAAGTATTTACTTACTGCGGCTCCACCTTATGCCAAGAAACCCGCTGAGCACGAGAGTGTGACACGTGAGTCCCAGGCTCTTCGTCAAGAAGTGGGAAACGGAAGCATTTAAACCACACAGAACATTTCAGTGACGCTGAGCCAGTCAAAAGGAGCTCAATTAGGAGCCCACGGGGCCCGAGGAGGTGGCTCCGTGGGGGAAGCGTTTCCCACCATACAGGCACGGGGACCTGAGTGCGGGTCCCAAGCACCCACATAAAAGTCAGGTGGGGAAGAGTGAGTCTGAGACTCGAGCACCATGGGGGGGTGAGGTCGCACCCACATAAAAGTCAGGTGGGGAAGAGTGAGTCTGTGACTCCAGCACCATGGGGGGCAGGGGGCGGGGTGAGGTCAGATGAAGTCCTGGACTCAGTGGCCAGCTAGCCCAGCCAATCAAGGAGAGACCCTGCTTCAAAGAACACGGTAAAAGTAAGGGGCCATTGAATGCTGACCTCTGGCCTCCACACAAACATACACATGAACACATGTGTACCCATGCTCATGTATACACACACACAAACAGGTGCCTACAACGCTCACACATACACACACAATTTCGATTATAAAGAAGAGCCACGTTGTATCCTGGAAAAGGCAGTGTGGGGACTCATCAGAATTTCTTCATTCATCTTGTTAACACCACACGCCCACTTCGTGTCAGGGACCGTTCTCGGGGACAAGAGGTACAGATATTTGGGGGAAGAACCTTCCAGGCGGACGGAAGACAGGACATTAAGATGGAAGTCTTCCTGACATAATGGGGATACAGCAAGTCTATGAGAAGAGAGGGGGAGGAGGGAGGGGGATTAAAAGCCTAAAGGGAGAGGCGGGGCGGGGTGGGGGTGGACTCTGAGTTCTCTGAGCCATGTAGGGTACGGAATCTACAGGATGGGAAGGTACAGGGGGCTGGGGCTTGGAAGTGACAGGCTGTGGCCTGTTTTAGCAGGACTGTGTTCTCTCCGGCAAAGCAAAAACAAGGAGAGACGCTAGGAGACTGATACAAACCCCGGGCCAGGCGAGGGTGGGACCGAACAGGTTGGCATCAGAATGCTAAAGCCTGAGGAGTGAGTCTGGAGACATTCGGACTTGGGAGCTGCTCTGAAGGCATGGGGGACAGGTTCTGTTAAGTGTGGTCCAAGACTAACGGGAGTCAAGAATGATGCCAGACTTCAGATCCCGGAAAGGGACCGATAGAGCAGTTCTTTCCTGAGATGGAGACCTCAGAAGAGTGGGTGTTGGTGGGGGGACCCGAAGGTCGGACACACTAAGTTAGAGACTTCTCTCAGACATCCAAATAGAGATATTTGGTTGTATTTTTATTTTGAGACAGGGTCGTGTGTAGCCTAAGCTGGCCCTGAATTCCTGATGTAACTGAGAGTGACCTTGAACTTCCGATCCTCCTGCCTCCACCTCCCAAATGTTGGGATGAGAAGTGTGTACCACCATCCCTGGTTTATGTGATTCTAGGGGTAGAATCCAGGACTTCATGCATACTGTGAAAGTACTCCACCAACTGAGCCCCATTCTGAGAAGGGCAGGTAGAGGCAGGAACTTAGATTTAGATTGTCTAGGTAGTATCCCTGGTGATATCCTTAGGGAGTCACCAGCACACAGACAGAGTTTGAGCCTTGGACACAGATGTGATTGTTTTTCTATTTTTCAGGAAATGATAGATGTCCAGAGGTAAGGGTCCATGCTGGGTCCTAGCTGAGAAGCTGGGTAGAGAAGTGGATGAGAATCACCAAGGAGCAGCCGTCTGTGCCGAGATGAGTTGTACAAACCTCCCTTCTGAAGCCATGGGGAGCCTTGCTGCTTTGAACATGATGGAGTGAGACAATTAGATCTGCATCTTCAAGAACTCAGTAGGCAGTGATTGCCATGAGCCTAGCTGGGCCTAACCTGCCTCATCCATCACTCCACGGCAATGGGCCACATACCCTCCCGTGGTGCGGTGTTCCAGAGACAAAGAGTGCTGGGTAGTATGTCCACCCTGAACCAAGGCACCTGGTCCGTGCCGGGCTGATCAATCTCCTTCTATAGATTTTTTTTTTTTTTTTTAGACTGGTTCTCCTGTAAGGCTGGCCTCAAAGTTAAAATGTAGCTAAGGATGACCTTGAATTTCTGGTCTTCCTGATTCCAGGATGACACATGTACACCCCCATTCCTGGTTTATGGACACTGGGGATGGAACTCAGGGCTCTGTGCACACTAAACAAGCACTCG